CAAGTAAAATTTTGCTGAAGATTATTCAAAAGCAGTTATAGCAGTACATCGACAGGGAACTGCCAGAAATTCAAGCTGGATTCAGAAGAGGACGTGGAGCAAGGGATATCATTGCTGATGTTACATGGATCCTGGCTGAAAACAGAGAATACCAGGAAGATGTTTATCTGTGTTTTATTGGCTGTGCAAAGGTATTCAACTGTGTGGATTATGACAAATTATGGATAACATTGCAAAGAATGGGAATTTCAGAACACTTAATTGTGCTCATGAGGAGCCTGTACATAAACCAAGAGGCTCGAAGAGAACAAGAGGATACTGTGTGGTTTAAAATCAGGAAAAGTGTGCGTCAAGGTTGTATCCTTTCACCATACTTATTCAATCTGAAAACTGAGCAAATAATCTGAGAAGCTAGACTATATGAGGAACGAACGCAGCATCAGGATTGGAGAAAGACTCATTAACATCCTGCAATATGCAGATGACACGACCTTGCTTGCTCAAAGTAAAAAGGACTCAAAGCACTTCCTGATGAAGATCAAAGACTACATACAGCCTTCAGTATGGATTACACTTTAACGTAAAGAAAACAAAAATTCTCATAACTGGACCAATAAGCAACGTCATGATAAACAGATAAAAGATAGAAGTTATCAAAGATTTCATTTTACTTGAATCCACAATCAACGCTTACGGAAGCAGCAGTTAAGAAATCAAACTACGTATTGCATTGGGCGAATCTGCTGCAAAAGTCCTCTTTAAAGTGTTAAAAAGCAAAAGATGTCACTTTGAGGACTGAGGTGCGCCTGACCTAAACCATGATATTTTCAATCACTTTATACTCATGCGAAAGCTGGGCAATGCATAAGGAAGTCTGAAGAAGAATTGATGCCTTTAAAGTATGGTGTTGATGAAGAATCTTGAATATACCCTGGACTCCCAGAAGAACGAACAAATGTGTCTTGGAATAAGTACAGTGAGAATGCTCCCTTAGAAGTGAGGATGGCAAGACTGTCTTACATACTTTGGACATGTTATCAGGAGGAACTAGCCCCTGGAGAAGGATATCATGCTTGGTGAAGTAGAAGGTCAGCAAAAAGAGGAAGACCGTCAACAAGACAGATTGACACAGTGGCTACAACAATGGACTCAAGTGTAGCAATGGTTGTGAGGATGACACAGGACCAGGCAGTGTTTCGTTCTGTTATACGTAAGAGTCGCTATGAGTCGGAACTGACTCAACGGCACTTAACAATAACAACAATTTTCAGAAGTAGATCGCCAAGGGTTTCTTCCTAGTCTCTCTTAGTCTGGAAGCTCTGCTGAAACCTGTGCACCATGGGTGACCCTGCTGGCATTTGAAATATCAGTGGTACAGTTTCCAGCATTATAACAACACACAAGCCATCACAGTACCATAAACTGACGGACGGATGGTGGATTCTGTCTTATTTGGTTGGGAATATTTGTGTGTATGGTTCCACTAGATAAGAGGCTCCCCCAAAGTGGTGGTTTTTCTTTTCTTGTCTTTGTACTGCCAGCCCAGCGCCTGGCCACAGTAACCTGTGGACCCATTGCCATCGAGTCGATTCTGATTCATAGCAACCCTATAGGACAAAGTAGAACTGCCCCATAGGGATTCTAAGGATGTAATCTTTATTGAAACAGACTGCCACATCTTTCTCCCACAGAGAGGCTGGTGGGTTCAAACTGCTGACCTTTCGGTTAGTAGCCGAGTGCTTAGTCACTGTGCCACAAGGTCTCCTTTGGCCACAGTAGGTCCTCCACAGATGTCTGCAGTAAAGTTGAGAGATGTAATGAGCATTAGGTAAAAAGCAAATATGGAACTCATTCTTGAGTTTTCTTTCTGTCCAATTCTGTTGGGGATTTTGAGTGCTCCTTTGCAAGTGAGTCCAAAGGTGTTGAGGGATGTGTGGTACTTGGACACCTGGGGTCCAGGGGCTGTGGCCAAAACCAGTTGCCAATGAGTCAGTCCCGACTCATGGCAACTGCATGTGTGTCAGAGTAGAACTGTGCTTCATAGGGTTTTCAATGGCCGATTTTTCTGAATTAGATGGCCAGGCCTTTCTTCCAAGGTGCCTCTGGGTGGACTTGAACTTCCAACCTTTCAGTCATCAGCTGAGTGCGTTAACCCCATTAACTGTTTGTACCACCCAGGGACTCCCTGAGGTTGTGGAGGGGTTCTGAAATCCCTGCGCTACAGGTGCACAAGCAGTAAGCAGAACGCTTGGCTCTGCTGAAGAGAGAGCAGTGCGGAAGTGGACTCAGCCAAGTTCCTTGTTTTCCCGTTGTAACATTGCTCTCTTAATTGGCACGGGTTCTGTTGAAATGATGCACCCTTGAATTTATGCCAAGTGTGGCTGTAGGCTAACAAGCTTTTCTCTCCTACAAAATGGTTTCTGTCTTCTGGTCACTTGTGGACAATCTCTGCTTCATTTTGTGAGTGAGGGAAAAGGCAGCAGGGAGTCGGTTTGGGGGAAATAAAACAACCAATAAAGCCGTGGCTGGTATCTGTATTCTGAAGTCTTGTCTCATGTCCGTGGAATGATATTGAGATAAATTGTTTTGGAAATCATCTCTAGAAGTAAGAATAAAAACTCCTTCCTTCCTATGAGCCATATATTTCATTTTCTCTGATTTATTTTCCTGGACTTCTTGCAGCTGTAACTGGAAAGTAGAAAATATCTACTCTTCGCTTCTGTTCTCAGAGCTTTTAACGACTTTGCCCTGAGTCAAGGAGACAGAAACAATTTGGTTTTACTCTCCCACATCCCAGAAATAACTAGCAATCCCCTCTTTGGTTATCTTTAAAAGTGCAGAGTTAATGCTTTAATCCTAAACTAGCGGTGTCTGATTATTGGGGGGCCTTTTGCCATATGACTGTTATTTAGCAACTGAATGTTGGTGACTCATTCACTTTGACTGTGGTAAAGGAAAATTCTTTCCATGGAAAACACAGGAGGGAAAAGAAATCTCTCTCAACCGCTCTATAGTATTTTCCTTTTGAAAAGGCTTCTCTGGAAACGAATAGGCACCAGCTGTTACTGGGCTAGCCCGCTCCAAAACTGTCAGAGCCTTTCTAAACGATGGTTTCTGTGCTCTTTATCCACTAAGGTCTACAGGTAGGTAATAAGGAACCAGTTTTGGTTAATACACTTAAATCTCAGCGTTAAAAACTGCCACCCTGAGTAAAAGAGACATTGAACCAATTGCATTTACAGCGTCTGGAACCACGTATGTACGATTGGGTTTGGACTAGGAACTCAGTGGTATTTTACTGTCATATTCTATTATGGAACAAGGAGAGAAAGAGAGAGCTTTGAACTGAATCTATAAGAGGAAAGCCTTAGAGAGAAGCGCCTCTGTGAGGCGCTAATCTATTTATGCAGCAAATATACAATAAAATAAATTCACCTGCTAGACTCACAGCCCCAAACTAATTCCAATTCTTCACAGTTCATTTTGCTTGTCAGCATCTCCTTAGAGCTTGGAGGGTGATTAGGCTGGGAGAAGCAGACAAGTGCAGACTTAGCTATGAAAATTTGGGAACGTAAAGAGCTCGTCTCTTCAGTGCTCGTGAACCATGCCAATCCCTCTGGACTTTAGGCAGTCTTGCTCTGGGGTGGCTCTCCTGTTTATGAATGAAGATTAGAGAAGCTGCTTAAAGGCTCCCCAGTGCTTATACTCCAGCTGGCCGCTGACTTAGGAAAAACTTGACCCCACAGGGTTGCAATGGGGGCGGGGAGCGATGGGGGCAAAGTGCGTGTCATAGAAAAGACGACCCAGGGGCTGGAGGGGACTGAGCCCTTACTTACGGGCTGAGACGCCCAAGCTATTAATAGTAAGCCCCGGATCACAGATGTAGGAATGTCACAGCTGCCTGAGATCCACTCCTGTTACACATCAGAAACCAGCAATAAAGGTCTGGCCAAGACGAATGGGAAGAAATGAGCATTTTTTCCCCTTCTCCCCAGCCCCACCAAATGGAATTTATTTCAGCCTTAAACACCGCCCAAGTCAAAGATGAGGCAGGTTGATTTACTTGGTTCCTTTCTGTCACCCTGGCTGTCTGAGATGCAACGCGTTAACAATATTTGCAGTAAATACAGTCTAATACTGGCTGTGCAGTCTGGTTCTGAAAGACGGGGGGCCATCTGCTGCCTTTCCCGAGTGGGGTGGCGTCTGTCTTTTTGTCTCTAGCTCATCACATTTCTCCCACGTGGTGGATGTGTGTGACGTGCTGTGGGGACCGAACGACCTGGGTTTGGGAGGCAGGTGCTGGAGTGGGGTGGGGGTCGGCTTTGTGAACTAGGAAGTTCTCTGCACACGGGAGACTGGTCTGTGACCCTGTGGGCAGAAATTAAAAAAGCAAAAGTCGGAGCTGCTGCAGCGGGCCAGGCTTAGGCTGGGCCGGGACGCAGGCAGTACTGAATCAGCCCACTGGCCCCTTACTTTGTGACTAGGATTCTTCCCTCATGTGTGTGTATATTTAAGGAACTTGTCTAGAAAATGCTGAGGAAGACAGGAGATGGTCGAAGTCAGAATCCTACCTAACTGGATAAGTCAGATTTCTCCTGTGATCCTGAAGTTGATCCTGGGTAAGGAATGGAATCCAGAAAAAGATCTTCCCAGGCTGCCTCCCATTGTCTCAATCTATCTGCCACCCCCATCCCCAAGACCACCGTGATCCCCCAGTCCCTACTTGAGTAAATATAGGTGTGGGGAGAGCACACAAATATCATGATTCGTTTGTCATTATAATTGAGCCTCCACGACTTCAAAAGTTGAAGAAAATGAACTTGAAGGAGTCTCTAGCGTTATTTTTCCATTTTGCTATGGAGGTAAATTTAATGCAGTTTGCTTGAAAGATGCAGGAGTGAGAAATGAAAGCAGCTGTAATAGGAAACTAATCAGCTAACAACTGACTGGTTGTACTGAGGGAGGCAGTCCCTTGCTGTCCTTCGGCCCCCCCGCTTCTGGCAATCATTTATCAGACCCTGGGAGGGGGCCAAGGCTCAGGAGCATTTGGATGCCGCTTTTCCCTGGGCCTGGCGTGAGGAATGCAAGGTGGTGTCAGTGACCAGAGATTAGGACAGTGGAATTTTGCATTTGTTACAACAGCAGCTGGAGCGAGTGGTGGCGGCTCCACAGCAGCGTCCCCGAGCAGGGCGCGGCCGCCACTCGGCGGAGCGCGCGCGGGGCGCGATCACGGTTCCGGCGGCGGGCGAGCCCCGGACCCGGCCCTCTGAGACCGGGGCGGGATTCTAGAAAGCAGCCCGGGACTTCGCCAGTCGATGCCGGCGCTTGTCCTCGCAGCCTCCGCACCCGCCGATCTGTCTGCCAAGGCGCCCTTCAACTCAAGAGTTTATTCTCGTTTCTTTCAGTCCTGCTCGGCAAAGGATCAGTTGCCATGGTGAAGGAGAAAGGTAATTCTAAATATCTATCCCAGGGCATGGTTGCTGAAGTTGGAATGGCACTGCAGGGCTCGGCCACCTAACGGGAAATGATCATTTGGAAGCTGGGCAGACATGTTCTCCATGCGGGAACCTCTGTACTGGGAAGTCTGGACTTCCATTGAATGCAGACTTCATTAAGAGCCTTTCATTTAGCCGCGGAAGCCCATCCTATCTGGGGAGTGTTTGCAGAGCTGGGGGTCTTTTTTGATTGTGATTGCATCGTGAATGCTAGGTTGTATTTGAGATTTGCCTTCCTGCCCCCAGCCTACCCTTCATTCTCTTCCTCACTTCTGCCACTCAAATCAATAATTTAATTAAGAATATGATGAAGGGCTTCCGCACCAGGTTGGTGGTGTGTTGGGACATGCCCGAGCCCAGCTAGGACGGGCAGAAAGGAGAAACTGGGTGGTTGTAAAGATTTCAGGTGGGCTGCATTTATAACCTGTCATTTCAGTATTAGCCCTAATCACCCCTCCAAACGCCTTCTAAAGGATGCTGCATATGTCAAAGGTGATGAAATCACGCCACCATAAGGAGAATGTAAAAAGAACAAGGGCGGGTCTGCCTGGCCCGGTGTGCATTATTGACGAGCTGGGCGTGGTCCTGAAGTGTAAGCTAAATGTTTCCTTATAGAAGTATAGTTTAAATAATTAGTTTATCTGGGAAATGTAAAGAGCATGACAGTGAACCTTTTTTGTTTCTTTGTTTTTAATATAAATACATCTTGAGTTAAGAAAGTGAAATGTTATAAAAGAATAGAGAGGGGAAAAATGAAAACCCCTCACCCCAACCCTGTCAACCTCGATTCCACTTGCCTCTCTAGAGGTAAAACTGTTAGTAGTGTGTATCTATCTAGACAGGAGTAAGATAGATAGACAGACAAATATAAAATGTGATTATTCTGTGATCATTTTTCTGTGATTTAATTTTTCACGTAACAACATGTCTTAGGGAGCTTCACCAAATGATTGTATAATGTAATATAAATAACCACCCTCTGATTTTGCTCTTCGGTAAGCTTAAATCTATCATGTCAAGTTTCTTACTGTGGGACAGACTTTTCTCCGTAAAGACAGACGTCTGCTCTTTTGGGGCTGTCTTTTGCCATTTCCCTGACTTATCTATACCACTTTCTCTCAGAGCCCCACAGGGAATACATTTGAGGTGAACATGCTGAACTCAAATTGATCCTTGTTGCTGGAAACTCAGTTTGGTTTTACTAGACTAACGGATGGGTTGAGAAATAGAATGATGACGGCGAACGGTGCAAAGACAGCACCTCAGGACAAAGACACGTGTGGGTCTGCTGCATCCGTGGTGCTCCTGTGTCTCTTTCATACTCACGTGCATTAGTTGTGGTCTTTTGATGAATCAGTGGTCACTGAGTGAAATGAGTTGAGTAGAAAGAAAGGTTCTTGTAATTATGTTTCCCGTCTTTGACGGGGGGCGGGGGGCCAGGACCCTCAGAGTAAAACCCAGATGTTGACATTAGCCAGAGGTTGGATCTCTTCATTTGTGCCTCCCTCCCAACCAGAACAACCTGGTCCTGATCGCTGTTGCTAATGGATTTGCATTTGTTTCTCCAATATGAGTAATTTATGAGTGATGGGAAAGAGGATTACAAGAGTTACTTCTCTATTCTATTCCTGTAGGGCCTGTGGACGCCCCAGACTTGCTCTTTGTGGTCTCTATTATAGATCAGCAGTCCCCAAACGACAACTCTTAGTTCCTGAGTCATTGCAGACTCCCCAAAGCTCAGCTTGCCTGGATTCACATACGCTCTACAAGTCAGTGGCCACTTTCTAGCTAGAACACTTTGGACAGGCCACCAGGAGGTCACATACTGGTATTATCTTAACCCTTAGCCACTGATTAAAGGCTGTTCCTTTTTTATTTTGAGGTCTGTGTCAGCCCACGCTGCTGCCTCCCAGCTTTCTGATTGTACCAACCTCGGCCAACAGCAGAGGAAGACAGGTTTTTTGGCAGCTAAACAAGAGCTTCCATGGATAGAAAAGAACATCATAGCCTCTAAAGAGGGAAGGGCACTGGGGATCGTGTAGTCCAAGCCTTCATTCTAGAGATGAGAAAACTAGAGCTCAGAAAGGGAAAGAAAATTGGTCAAGGCCACACAGAGGATTGATCGGACCAAGTGGTGGTCCTCTCTGCTCCATCAAACGATGTACATGGATCTGTGATTACACTTGCTACAGGGAGCTGACATCCACTGTCTCCATCACTAGATGGTGAGCAGTCACTGTGTCTCCATCTTTGATTTTCCAATGCCAAATGTGGTGTCTGCCATACCATAGATTTTCTCTCAGTAAACAGTTAAAGCAGGTTGACATGTTGTCAAAGCTGGGACAGGAAACTTCTGACTCGATTCAGGGATTCTTCCAGGCCCCTCTGCTGTGTCTTGCTCCCAGAGAGGCATAGCTCCTTCCTTCTTCCTGGCAAGAACATGAGTCACCCTTGAGCAGGCTCAGATTACGTCCTGAAATGTCCATCCCAAGAAACGTGAGGCCTTCTGAAGGAGGAGTAAACCTAGACGCCTGCAGTGCTCACCACTTAGAATGATTTAGCTCATACTGGTTTGCCCCATCATTTTCTCTCCAGGGCAGAGTTTCCATATATCTGTGGAACTCTGTTGTAAAACCCTATTTGTCATGTGTGTGTATGTGTATGTGTGTCCCCATGCACCTCAAGTTTGGGGTTGACATCAGCATAGTGGAAACCATGCTGGCAGATCGCACCTTTGGTAGTGTGGAATGGCGTTTGCTGACATAACTTTGACCCTCATTATCTTTTTTTCTTCTGACCAGGCATCCATTCACTTCCAGTTGCAGACACTTATTGATCCAGGAATCTTGATGAAATGGTTATTTCTCTGATGCATTCAAGGACACCTTACCCTTGCTGTATCCTGTAACAAAGAAGTATGAGAGATTTTTGTGGGTTTCTCAGTCAATATCTCTCTTCCTGAATACACTGTCATCAGCCTAAACACCAGGGGCCCTCTGTACTCATTTAAAAGCTATAATTGTCTAGCTTTTGTGTGTTCTAGTGCAGGTTTTAAAAATATACACAAGGGATTTATTATTTCTTTTTCTTAGAGAAAATAAGAATTAGCAAACACTAGAGATTAAGTTATGTAAACAGCACTTAAATGATGAGGAGTGCTTATGGTTTGTAAACTGTGCGAGAGAGTAAGAGTTTAGCAATGAGGGAGACAAATCTGGGTAAACAGAGTTTTACATTTGGGCACATGGTTTTTTGTTTTGTTTTCCTGTAAACTTTTTGCCACTGTTGGGTGGTCCAACTTGCTTTTACGCTGAAAGAGTTTGGCACAGATGATTTACTCTTGACTACTAATCAAAAGGTTGGTGATTCACACCCACCTAGTAGCACTGCAGAAGAAAGTCCTGGCAATCTGCTTCCAGAAAGATTATAGCTAAGAGAACCCCATGGAGCTCAGTTCTACTCTATAACTCATGGATTCACTATGAGTCGGAACCGACTTGATGGCATTAGGTTAGGCCCTAATGAAACTCATTATAGTAAACCCTCCATAGGGGGATGTTTACTCTCCACTTGACATTCGGGTATGTGGGGACACACACATATATGCTCACACACACACAGCAAATAGACTTTTACAGCAGAGTTCCTCAACCTCAGCACCATTGACACTTTGGACCAGATAATTCTTCGTAATTCTGTCCTGTGCATGGTAGGATGTTTAGCAGCATCCTTGGCCTCTACCCACTAGATGCCAGTAGCACCAAACTCATACTCATAATAATAAAAAATGTCTCCAGACATTACCCAATACCCCTTGGAGGACAAAATTGCTGTGGTTGAGAACCAGTGCCATAGAGCAGCGTGGCTGTAAGATACCTTGGCCATAGATCTTTTCAAGGTTTAGGTGGTAGGGCTTCCCTGATCTAGTTAGCTGGATTCACTTGGGTAGAGATGGAGGATGGGAAATGTGAAAAATCATTACAGGAAGTCAACCGAACCAAACAACTCCTCCTTGAAGCCTATAAGGTTTGGGCAGAAACAGATGATTCAAATAATAAAGCTGCAGAGACACGAATAAAGGTCTCCTCTCCTCCTTATTTTTGTGCCCATTTCCCAGCTCATTTCAGTTGCTGAAAATGGAATAATTGTGTTCATCAAAGCAGATGTATCTACAGAGAAGTTCTAGCTCGATTCTTCATCTTCCTTTAATATTCTATAACCCCTGTTCTGCCCAAGCAGCTTCCTTATTCAGTCACCATCTCCTGAGGGTTCCCTCTCTGTTAGGTAAGGTGCTGGTTACTCAGGAAGGTTAGATGGACCTAGAAGACACAGTGACTACCTTCAGGTTCATTATCATTTGTTGAGGAGGTAAAATAGGCTCGTAAATAACTAATGGGAAATAGATGTTAAAAGAGATATAAATGCAGTGCTTTGGAAGGTAAAGGGGGAGCTTTAGCTTCCAAACATGCTGATCAGGAAAGGCTTCTTGGAGGAGGTGACTAGGACTTTAAGGAGTGGGGATATTTGGGCCTGTAATAAACTGGAATGAAAAGAAAACAATAGATTTGAGATAACCCACACCTTTAGAAGTGATAGAACTTGGCAGAAGATTGGGTATAGGGAATGAGAGGGAGAAAGGAGTCCAATGAGGCTTGGAAAGGATTGGTTGGGGTGGGTGGAGAGTTGCTGGGTGGTGGGGGTGTGAGAGAGGAGATGGGCAGTGGGGTGGGAGAGTAGAGATGGTGAATTCAGTTTTATAAACCTTGAGCCAATGTTGGCAATAAAGGACTGAGGAGTGATTAGAAATGAGTAGTCTAGCTTGTACCTCTTGGGCAGGATGCTGAGATTTCTTGACCAATTCGTATAGACTTGCTTGACCTACCTTATGGATGATAATGTTAGAAACAGGCCTTGGCATCCTCTGGAATGATAGGAGGTACTTCAGATATTAG